AACCAGATTCCAGCGGAGGAAGAAATCAGGAAGAAGCTCTGGAAGTGGATATGACACACATTGAGGAAAGCACCGAACTGCGTCACAAGACAAGCCCTCACACAGAATCCTGAAGGCCAAAGGAAAAGAGGAAGACCAACGAAGAACACATTACGCCGGGAAATGGAGATAGACATGAATAAAATGAACAAGAATTGGATGGAAGTAGAAAAGAAGGCGGAGGACAGAGTGGGTTGGAGAATGCTGGTATGCGGCCTATGCTCCATTGGGAGTAACAGGCGTAAGTAAGTAAGTAAGTAAGTAAGGTGACCAAAGACCAATAAGCCAGCTGTTTGATGAGTCCCAGCCCCGCTAACTAGGGGGGGAAGTCCAAGTATATTCTGCAAGCAGCCAGAAACCAGCGATAACAACAAACACAATTCAAAACGTATATATACAGTACAAAACCGTCCTTGGGGAGAGTTACCAAATAGCATACTAAAAGACAAAATGGAGTGATCGCATGAGTTCAGAGGCAGAATTAGGTTGCAATACCTGTCTTGTTCACTACGATCCAACTTTCGAAGCAGCAAGCGGACCTTCCAAGCATCATTCTGATTAGCAAAGTCAAATTTGAATAAGTCTTCGTAACTTCGAAACCACATATCAAACGTGACATTGGATTCGGGATCGTAATGAAACTCGCAGATACTGTTAGCAATACCGTCAACTGATGACAACTGAATTCAATCATTTAAACTATCTAAACGTATGATCAGATGATAAAGTAGACAATGAGACAAAATACTTATTTAGAAGCTATAAACCTAAATTCCATTATTCATAATAGATGAATCTAGCAAACATATTTGGCCAGAAGCAAGACACTTCAACTCGATGTATTTAAATCCTAATACTAATCTTTTACATAGTGACATGAAAACAACCCATTTTACTTTTAATACAAGCATGTTATCAAATAGGATATCCAATAATAAAAATGATTTATATTCATTTCATTTCTTTCTATTTTATACAGATCAAACTACTGTAACTCGTGGTTGTTTAAGTGATTTAATAATGAATACACAATATCGTTTAGATATGCCACAACTTCGTCGTCATGGTTACTGTGTTAATTCTCGTGATTATCAACATTATTTATTAAAAGTTTTAAAGGGGAAAACTTTAGTTGAAACTGCTATGGGATTATTTAGTGATGAGAATATGGATTTTAAACGTTTTTGTTATTGTAATGATTTTAATGGTTGTAACCATGTAAATAATTTAAAAGTTTCAACAATTTTAATTTCTTTTATTATAATATTGACACTTATATGGATTCATTGAAATATTTTCATTTCCATTACCTATTTTTTATCGTTTTCATTTTAACACTACTTTTAAACGTATAAGTAGTTAAAGTATTTTAACTAAAAATATTCTGCTTCTGATTCCTTTAGAATGTATATAATCGTAATTAAATGTTTGGAACTGTTAATTTATAACGTTTGATAATATTTTGTAAACTATAAAAGAAAAATTTGTTTACAATAGAAAAGATTTTACAGTTAAAAGTTGAATTCTACAATAATTTTCGTGTTTTTTTTCAAAAGGTGGTGGTGGTTAAGCGCTCGCGCGTGAGACTGATAGGTCCTAGGTTCGAATCCCGCGAGAAGGATTCGTGGATACGCACTGCTGAGGAGTCCTAAAATAGGAAAAAACGGTCGTCCAGTGCTTCCATGTTTTAGATGGTGCCCTAACTTCAATTAACTCATGATCTCAACTATTGAAATGTCTTTAAATATTTGTGAATTGATTTTGTCTTTACGTTGTCATAGTAACTAAAGAACAATTTTGTATAATTCTACTTAAGTTATAACTAATAATTTAAAGATTATAATATTTTCGCAGGTTTAACTGTACTTGCAAGTATGCTTATCATCTTCTAGGGATTGGAGTATTTTTTTATAGTTTCTTTTTCTCAGACAATCTATTAGATTTACAGATTGTTTTTTCGTCTCAATGTGTTAGTCTAGTTAGATTTAATGCTGATGAGGATGGAATGCTCAAGTGTCTCCTGACTAATACGGAATTTCTTGTAATATTTGTCGAATATAGACAAGAAGAAAGTGCTGTTCCAAATCAAATTTATTTTAGTAAAAAGGGTATTGACCGAACAGGCTATGAGTTGATATCAAAAAAGGAAAAGTGGAAAATTTTAAGAGATTTCTTGATGAGTATCAGGTATTTTCTAAACGTCATTAAATAATCTGATCCAAGTAAATTTGGAAATCCCACTGCAAAGTGACAGAGGTGGTCTACTAAGGATCTGAAGGATAAACTTCCACAGAACAATGAATCAAACTTGGATGGTTGAAGCTAAAGACTGTAGTGTCATGGTCGTTGAGTTGAAAAGTCATGATACTAAAGTATTAATTAAAAGGTTATGAAATTTAATACATGGGAAAAAGGCGAATATCACAGGCACTTCATTTCATGTTAAATCGGACACTTAGAATGTTCCTGTTTATATGCTAAGAAAATAATAAGAATTGATAAGATAGTAGATTGGGGGTCATGTCATTGGGAGATAGAGTTATAAGGAGAATCTCACTGACCCAAATAGGAGACCTTGTACAAAGCAATGAAATAATCTCCAACCAGTTTGTTTTCTAGTAGCCAGATCTTGGAAACGAATACTATCAAGGACTGTATAGAGGTATCGTTCGTTTTAGAAGTTTTACATATTAATCCTTGTAATGTACTCGTTAATTGATAAGAGCAAATGTGAAATTGTAATATACGTACAAATGTCCTTTTGCTTAAGAATTATATGGGAATAAGGCTTGTGACATTGTCAATAGTAAGCTGAATTTAACAGCCATCACACTATGATGGAGATCATATATCTTAGCTTAACCCATAAAGTTGATGGTATTGTATCAGGAAAAAAATTAGGCTTTGTAGTAAAAGAAACCGGTCCTTGATAATGAGGGATTTCAATGAACCTGCATGAAAATGAACAGACTTTTCTATGTAAGATCCGACAACGTATTCTACACTGTGCTCCTTATAACTATAATGAAGTACAGCTTGTATTCGAATCCAAAAGTTTTGGTTTAAACCATAGACCTTCTTTATTGGGCATGTAATAATAATAACTGTTATTATTGTTATTATTATTATTGAGGATAGTGGTGTTGTGTTGTCTGTGCTGAACACTTTAGTCATGGAGCTTACATTGTTCTTCTAAACAACACCATTACCACTTACATCAAAGATAAGTGACCTATAAAAATTTCACCACAAGTGACTAATAGCTTGTTCTGTTTATCTGGGATTCTATCAGTAGTTATTCATAACTGTTTATCCATTGTCTGTATTAAACATAAATCTAAAGACATATCAAAATTGACCAAATTTATCAGCTAATAAGGAGAGAGATCAATAACCGCAGGTTCAGAGTTTAGGTCAGGAGAAAAAATGGCTAAAATAAACATATGGCGGCGACCACACTGTTATGGACAACAAACAACAGAATCACATGTAAACAAAGCAAGCTGTTAGTCAGTTATGGAGAAATTCTTATAGCTCACGTGTCCTTGAAGTAAGTGCTAATTATGTTTTCCAGAAGGTCAACGAAAGCTTCGCGACCAACCAAATAACTTATAAACCACAGTACCTCCAACGCCCTTATCCTGGATTAATAATATGCTCCATCATCTGAATGTTAAAGATATTGCTTATCTCAATATTTGATCACCACTTTTAATAATGACTACAAAAGTTTGTTCTTCAGATGCAGATATAAAATATGATTAGTCATGGGACTGACACAGGCCACACGTCCTGGACTCCACTGCTTGGGACTTAAGACAATATTGAGGCAGTCCGCATAGGATACACATGTGCACACAAGAGACGGATCAATTGTAGTCCCAAACAACAAGATTGGAAGTGCTGTGACTTTAAGGCTAACTTGTTATCATGTGATTTATTCGCCAGTCAAAATACGACTTATACAATCTTGGCACTGTGCCAAATCAATGACGTTCGACCGTTATGAGCAGCCTAGCGTCCTTATTGGTCCTTTTTTCGCCTAGCCCGTCCACCTGAGTCCAGAACACCAATAACAGCTTCCACTATGCGAATCATTTCTTTCAAATATACTTGGTTTATATACCAGTCAAACCGACTACATCACACCATAAAATACGAAATAACGTTTATACAAGATTAAACCAAAAAGTGGCTGTGAATGTGAGAGACTGTAATCAATAAACTGAAAATAACTTAAGAATAATAAGTCGTATAACAGTAGTTAATGAGTCAAAATGAAGCTTATAATAAGAGCAATATAGATATACACAGTCTAGTTACTGAATAGTTATACCATTAATAGTTGTCGAAAGTTACCAGTAATTTAATCTTTACTAAGATATAACAGAAAGATAAAGGTAAATAATACCAAGTGAATTTAAACTTCACCCAAATGCATAAGCCATTGGCTATCACAATTCAGTAGCTAAGTGAATAATGTGATGATGTTTGAAGTGAACGATACTGAAATCTAATCCCAGAATGAACATCAACTCTAGGATGTAAGTACATCTAGCTGACAAGTTCCAAATAGGACAAAACACGCGTCCTAGTCTCCATTGCAAGCTAACATCCATCCTTGCTTATACAGTGCTAATAATTCAAATATTGATTTTCTTTTGAATCATATGATATTGAATTTAACCAATAAATTTGAATTCTGTATTAAACGATTAACCCTGGAACATATTGAACAGTACACATGATAATTTACAATGTATCATATCGAGTTAATGGAACATTAAACAACGAACATAAAACACGTACTGATAAACAAATGTAATGACATTTCTTATTGATCCATTGTTGAAGTTATCAAACGTGACTTTCCATTATTCATGTCTGTTTTTCTGTATTGAGTATTTAAGTGATAACATGATTGACAACATCATATACACATAAATATTATCCAGAAGAAAATGGTACGTGAATCATTGTTGATTATTCAATTCATTATGAACTATTTGAAGATTTCAACAGTTGAGATCATGATTCAATCGAAGCTAGATCACTATGAAAAAACCAGAAACACTGAACGGTCGTTTCATTCTAATGTGAGACTCCTTAGCAGTAAGCATTCACAATCCTGCCTCGTGAGATTCGAACTCGAGACCCGTCGGTCTTGAACGCAAGCGCTTAATTTTTAGACCACTGAGCTGGCATCCAATGGTGTTAATGTCTAACTTCAACTAATCCACGAAACTGAGCAACACACACACATGATCTCAACTATTGAAATTACTATAATATCCACAAAAACCCTTTCTGATATTGATTATTGTTTGTTCATGTTTAATATTATTCATTTGCATTATTGATGTTAAGAACGATTCATGACCAATCCACTCAGCTTTGAAAACGAAAATCCGCCGAACTATCTACTGAACATGGAAATGATGTCCATATATATATATATCACGAAACAGATTAGATTGTTATTCGTATGAGATTACAGAGTGTTACTGAGACTGTATTGGCTGGTGCTATGTCGAACACACATAGGTTATTCTAGCTTCTAGAGATAGCAATTCATTAATTCTTCTCCAGGTGCAATTTGACATTGTCAATCATTCGCTTAATAACCCTGAATGCTTTTATATGATCGTATATGTGTTAATTACTCACCCTTTTCATTATGTGTCTGTAACCTATTTCACTTTACTTTAAATATCGAGTCACATTCGATAAGAGAAGTTCAACAATGTGAAATGTGAGATTGTTATCCCCTGAAACCAATTCAAAACTGTCACATAATACCATGGATTGATTTAGATTAGGTTTATACACCATTGAATGCTGACTCGTTGATCATGACACTAAGCGTTTGTTTGTAAGATCAAGTGTTCTGATTTCGATGCTCGGATGTGGGGTCGTGGATGAGCAATGTAGAGGAGCCTCGTACTAACCCGAAACGGCCTTCCAGTACCTTTAGGATTTCAAAACCTACTTAACCTAGATCGATTGGTTATCTCAACAAATTTCGACAGCATTAGAAAAACAATGTGGGAGGACTTATTCAAGCCAAATTAATACCCGTACTTTTAAAGAAATGAGAGTAAGTTATTCATAAAGATAATAATCCATTCTTCCCACCTTCATCGAACTGTAAAATGATATCCTGTGATATAATATATATTAGGGTATGATGAAAAATTATTCAAACTATGGAAACTTTACTATGTTTCCGAAACCCCATACGAATGGAGGTATAGATCTTAACAGTTCTCACCTACTTAGCAACCTGTTTTAACAAAATGTTAGGGAATCATACATCGTCAATATTAGTGCCAGTTTATTTGAACTTAGTTTCCACCGTTGTGAAAATAAATCTCAAGAGAATCATCGTCATCTGGTAAACGATGATTATTCATGAGTCGTTGGAAGTCAGAATCTTTGAGATCTAAGATTTTTGACAGGGGTGGTGATTAAAAATATATCGAGTACTCAAAAGTTCAAACAAACGTTTACCAACGTAAATAACAGATGACAGAAATTATTCGAAAACCGTCAAACTTGTCAACTATACTGAACCTACTCTATTGAGTTAAGTCTTACTAGAATCGTCAATAGGCAAGTGTCAGAGAAGTCTGATCGATTCGATAGCCAGTAAACAGTGAATACTGCATTTGCGTTGCAACCGATATTCACAGTCGAATATAATTGATATTCGTATACAAATTACATTCTCATAATTTATTTGAATGTTTTGTTTATCTCAGTATTTCACCTAGTCATTTGATTTTTTCGTGATCTAGAGCACTTTGACTTTCGTGGAACTTATCACAGAGAATCGGTTACTCTTGCTTACTGCACTCATCGTTTCTTGGATAAGTTTCAAACTTTCACAGTTATTGTTGATCTATTTGAAATACACTGTTGGAGTATGGTGCTTTTCTAAACGGAAAACACTTCGTCAGGCTGGTGAATGGGCAGTTGTCACTGGTGCATCGTCAGGTATTGGTGAAGCGTATGCAGAAGAATTGGCCACAGAAGGTCTCAATATCATGCTTATCAGTAATGATGAGAAACAACTGTCATCCGTTGCTAAACGAATCGCAAATACCTACAATGTTCAAACACGAATTGTGGTTGCAGATTTCACTAAAGTAATATCCATTCTCAATGAATCTGTTAATCATATAATTTTAAATTATTGTCATTGACTTAAGTAATCAGTTCGATTTGTCACTCGGTAGTGTTTGAATAGATTGACAGAAGTTGTGCATCACTAGTTGCTTTATTCATGAATTGATAGATTGTTAGTCGAGTTATTACTGACACTTGAGTCATGTGGTCATGTCAAAATGATCATTAATGATAACATGCATTTGAATGTAGAAATGCCGTGACATACAATTTCATTCATTCAGTGAACAGATGCGAATGTGAAATAACTGTTTGCGAATAATACTCTTGTTCTGTTGATTTTCAGTTTACTGGTGTACAATTAAAGTTAAAACCGTGTTTCATAAGGAAAATATTTGTGTATAAGTATACAAATTAATTGTGTATTTGCTTGTAAATTGTCAGCGAAGTCCGAAATAAATACTTTGTCGTATTCAATAATACGTCAACTGAATGCTCCGGGATCCACGTTTTGATGTTTACTGTGAAATTTGAATTCGGTACATGTCACTGTAAATGATAAATCGTTGTATAGAGCGAAATATGGAATTTGAACAGTTTCTGATCTGTTCAAACGTCGCGTTGTTTGATCGTAGGTAATTGGATTCACTTCGTTGCTGATATTCAGGAATTCATTTGACCAATCTCCTTTCAACAGTATTCTGAAACTTGTATTAGAGGGTTAATACCAAAGCAGCATCCACACACGATGCACCCAAACTGTCAAACATTGATTGGATTTCGGTCGTGAATATTGGAGACGGAAAAACGCAGACATTTATTATCAATATATGGTATACTAGTTGAACAGATATCAGGATATTTGATCTCACACCCTCAGTGTATATCGCGTTGGCCATTGACAAACAGGGTAGAGAACTTGTCTCAGATTCATCTACAATTCACAATGTAAACGCATCAGAATAAATTGACATTTTTGAAATTTGATCAAATATTCAAACACTTAAACACTTAGGGAACATTCGAATGATCAACTTCCACCAATCTTGTGTTCTCTTTTGTTTAGAATGATGTTTATGAAATCATAAGACCTGCTGTTGACCAATTGTCCACAATTGCTTGTTTAGTTAACAATGTTGGTATGGTGTTACCGTTTGAGTTGTTTGCTGGAGAAGTTGATTCACCGAATGAAGAATCAATCAAAAATATCATTCATTGTAACATTTTATCTACACTGATAATGACAAGCATCATTCTGCCGAAAATGTTAACACAGAAAGGACCTAATCCTGGTATCATAAACATTTCATCTTATACAGCTTTAAAAGTGACGCCCTACTTGCCGATTTATCCTTCAACCAAAGCATTCATTATTCAATTCTCTAGATGTCTGGCTGCAGAAAAGTATAGAAAGAATGTGATTATACAAACGATGTATCCATTATTTGTATCTACAAATATGACCGATTTAAGAGAACCCACATATTTCACACCATCTGCTAAAGTCTATGCTAAAAGTGCATTGGATATGTTCGGTGTTGAACAACAAACCACTGGTTATTTTCCACATGAGTTAAAAGCATTTGTATACAATCTAATGCCAACATCATTGTGGGTAAAAATAATCGAACGTACGTTCACTCCAATCAGTAGACAATCGAAGAAGGTTGACTAACATGAATGTTGTTTTTCAACTTTCCTGAGAAACAGTAAAACCTGAAAATGAACATTTCGAAGCTTTTAGTTATATCACAGTTTTATGAATTTATTTAAAATTAATGAGACGTAACTTTATCTGAGAAATCAGTCGTATTGATATAGAATTTACATTATGGTAAACTAGTTTTCTTATGTTCAATGGTCAGTTATCTTTCAATCCATAGTTATCTTGGTCACAAATTCTTCTCAAAATTTCGTATCGAGTCATCTTATAATGAATGTTTCGACAATTACCATTTCAACGTCATTAGTCACGGTTTTACTAATTAAATCCCGTTTCCATATGACTGACCCTCAAAGATACAATAAAACTAGTGAAAATATCAGCATTTTTCTCGTATATCATCGTTCATTAATCGAGAAATAATTTTTCTTTTATTTCATTTAGTATTCTCGACAAGTTGTTATTTAGGCAGATACTTGTTGAGAATGGAAATAGTAGATGGTCTGACTGAATATTAATAACACTGAGTTACCAGGTTAAGTCTTCGATTCACTATTGCTTTAATAATTTGGTTCGAGAGTAACTGTCTCGTCGCACAGTTACATCCACGCTGTGAGTTTTTTGGCCATTAAAACACCAAATCCAATTCTAGAAATGTCATATCATCTTCTCAAGATAAGGATTGGCCAACCTTAACACGACCGGAACACCGTACTTACCCACGTAAATGCAAAATATTTTCAGAAAGAGGGATGCCCGAATTTCACGATTACTCATGGATATCCGAACTGGTTTCAGTTTCAGTTTGGAAAGGAGAGGAAGCTCGATGACCTGTGTCAGTCCTGGCAATGATGGTTTCTCAGTTGATCTAACTTTCGTTTGAAAGAGTCGATGGATGGAGCCTCAACCACGTGCTGAGGTACTGAATTCCACTCGTTGATGACTCGACGGGAAAGTCGATAGTCAGCTGACAAGTAATTTGTCCTGGGCTTGTGAACTTTTTTGGAGTGTCCTCGCAAATTCTCTGTTTTGGAAGTCAAGAAAAATGAGGGCATATCAGGTGCAAATTTATCACTAAGCAATTTGAAAATTGTAATCAAGTCGCTTCTAGTTCTTCGATATGACAACAAGAATAGGTTTAGCTTGACCAGTTTAGCATCATACGGGAGCTTCTCTATTCCGGGAATCAGCTTAGTTGCTGTTCTCTGAACCCTTTTCAAAAGCTTACTGTCTTTTTTAAGCAGGGGCTAGCCGCTTGTATGCAGTACTCAAGTTTAGGACGTACAAACACTGTATACAAAGTCAGAAACGTTTTAGCGTTGACATAACTAAAAGCCTATAAAGTTCTAAAAACTTTTTTGGCTATTGCACGGGAGTGTACAGTAGTTTTTAAGTCTTCGCTAACGATGACTCCTAAGTCATTGTGTGTCTGGACAATAGGTATCTCAGTGTTATTCACTGTGTATGTATCTGTACCTTGATGACCGATGTGCACCACTATATACTTTGGAGTATTTATCGACAACTGCCAGGTTTGAGACCATTTAGATAATTTCTTCAGGTCACTTTGGAGTTTTAAGCTATCCCAGACAACCCAAAAAGAGGAAATAAATACGAAGAAAGGGGAAATAAAGGGGTAAATTCTTTGGTAGCGAAAGGGGAAATAAAGGGGAAAACGCGCCAGAATGTCGCCTTTTTCGCCTGTCCGGGGGAAATAATGCGGATTTCCCCCTTTTTCGCCGTTTTGTCGACAAATTACCGACTTATCGCCTAAATATCCGCCGAATTGTCGAATTTTCGCCTAAATTTCCGCAGAATTGCCTACTTATACGCTTAATTGTCTACTTTTCGCCTAAATACACACATAACCCCCTATTTTCCATCCACTGACAGAACCCCAAAGGTCTCCTATGTTCGCCTTTATTTTCAACAACAGACCAAAATATATCTGCAATGCAGTGGAAAAGCGGTACATTTTTGAAAAATTTTATTTAAAAGGAAAAGCGTATTATTGTACAACACTACAGCAGAAGCTTAAGCATCGATTATTTTGCATATCCAATGCAATTGCTAATTCATTGTTATTTGAAATTATCTGAAAGAGAAGGAACAGGTGATGTTTTATTTATAAGGAATGTGCATATAACCAAAAGCTAACTGACACTCAAACACACATTCTCAACACTTCAACAGTTTCCCATGTAAGTAAAAGAGTAAGCTGTTTGAAAAAATAATGTTTATTGAAATCTAGGTAGAACATCAAAACAATTGCACGGACTATTCCCTTATGCCACGTTCGTTCGGCTATTGAGAATTGAGGTAGTCGTCCTGTGAATTCTGAATTAAAAAAAGAAGAAGTCACAACCATATCTCAATGACATGCTTTGGCACAGCTAAATACTTGAAGCTGAACTTACGGTTATGTCCGTTATGATTCACCGTGTACCTAACAGAAGAACGGGCAGATGCGTCACATATAACAGCCGCCAACTGAATAGCTATGCACTTATTAAACTTGACACTGAAAAGACCCACGTCAGTTATTTCTTTAATTTCAGAAATTCGTTGAATTCTGCGGGTTTACTATTCCCTCCGTAGATCCCTATAATGAACACGTCACTAAGCCTAGGGGCAATGATCCGTCCTAGTATAGGCCATAACTGTTGATTGGAGCTTCTAAACATAGAAAGTCCATCTATATTGACATACAAATTTAAAGAGTCGAAATCAATAGTACACAACCAAAGCTCAACGTATCTAAGCAGATTGGTTTTCAATCCTAGATGGTAGTAAACCCCCAAGGGTGATATCACCCTTACTTCGTTTCGCTCTCCATATATTGTGGGGAATTTCAAAGCTCAAAAATCAGACTGCAACACAAGTACGTGTGTTAAGTTGCGGCTGTAGCTTCAGACTAATTAAGTTTGGAATGATGAATAAATGTCAAATTTAGTTAAGATACGTGCTACTGACCAGTTCAAACGGAAACAAAGTAACTGGGGAAATGACGGTTCCAGATGTCATTGTAAATATAGATGTACACACTGATTCGGTCGCAAGAATGGTTGGATTTTATTATAATGATTAAGATCTCTTCAGGAACAATAGTCGCTCACACACATTCTACAAATTCGATTTTCCGCATGACCTTCGCACTCTGATTGGTTGTCATGATTTTTAGTTCGCTAAATTGTTGCGTGTTCGAAAGTCACATTCTGCTACCATAGTAACGACTTTTGTACCAAATTCGTTTGTGTTACTTGTTCTACCACAAATATCGAGTTACCCACAATTCTGTCCTCTTTGTGTTTTGGTAGTCGAAGTTTGATGTGTTGGTTATAATTGGATGTTGTCAGTTCCGAAGAGAACCGATCATAATATGGAAGCTCAATGGTTTTCGTTCTTAAATTCGTAACATCCCAAGCTCCAAATTTCAGGGAAAATGTTGGTGTTAATCCTCATAATATGTGTTGCGCAGTTTTCCGGATTAACATTTCATCACCATTGCATTATTAGACCTTTGAATATTAAATTACAATGAATAAATATGAATTTTAATAAAGTATTGAGCTTTAGTCAAGAATACTCTACCGATTCTAAGCTTTTGTTTTAGCACGTCAAAAAGACACGAGACAATGAGTTGTCGGCTTTAAACCACTTTTTCTAAATTCTCACGCCATGCAGGTGGGTTATTTGTAATGTCCACAATTTCGATTAATGCTTTTGTTCAGTCTGACTAAAGTGAATTATCTCTTTCAGAATAATAATTTACAGCTTGACAGGATCGCTAAAAGGCGGGCTAAAGCATCCAGAGACTTAAGGTTGATGAGCTGTCTCAAAGCAATTTTTCACAAAAGGCTGCGGAAGTTAAAAGCTGGGTTCGTCAATAAGTACCAGTTAACGACCAGTGACGATGGGAACGACAATTTATTTGTTGTCAGAGAAGTAGGGACCACAGCAGCTACAGAGAAGTGTAACATTATTGTCTCACAAACAGCCACTGCTTCATGTAGTGTTCATCTAATACAGACAACGGTATAGTCTAGCTTTATTTATTAACAAGTAATAGATGGTGCAATTTCACAAATGTCTTCACCCTTTTACGTCCAGTAATATCGGTATATTCAAAGGTTTTACCTTAAGTCACAAGTGTAGGTGGATTGCACTGACAGATACACTTTGCAAGTGTATTTGTATACCGACACAACATTATAGGGTTATTGTTCCCCTTTTACATACATACCGATAGAAAATGTGACATCATTTCTTGTAAGATCCAAACTAAGGTTTGGACTAAAGAATAGCTTTCTAGGTGGGTTAGACACGCGCCCGCGCCCGTTTGAAACCAGAACAAAGTAATTAGGTAAATGACGGTTCTAATATCCATCATAAAGTTAAATGTACGTCGTTACCTAAACAAATATGACCGCCCAGCTATCCAACCAATATTTGTTCAATTAATCAAATCTAAATTACAATAAATAAAGAAGTTAATAAAGGATGCAAGAAAATTACCAATCACAACAAATAAATTTTGTTCTATCCTGTCTGGATAGACCACGCACAGATTCGTTCAAAAGATAATAGTTGGTTGCTTTATAACACAGAGTGTTTTCGATTCTGGAAGAGTGCCTCAGTTCACAATCAAAAATGCGCAATTCCAGTCAATATAAGCAACGCAATCAAAAGGATGAACAAACCAAAATGGCTGCCGCCAAAACTAAGTATCAAGTAAAATAACATAAATGCAGTTCAGGACGAAACTTACTGAAGGCGTACGAAAAATAAAAACTATAATGAAATACAAATATTAACAACTCAAATGGAATCAAAAAGACTAACAAAATGTACAACTAAAGGAATCAATGGGAAGAAACTGCAAGTGTATACATGGAGGGATTTTCACACACAAAAATTTCAAAATGGATCTTAATGTTCTCAAGGCCTGTCGCGAATATAATCTTTTATGCAGTAAGTATGTCTGTTGGTTAGTGATTTGGCGTCATCCATCA